TAACTTGCTTGAGAAGTTCCAAGAGTTTTTGAAGGAAGAACTTAGGTCTCGAGATTGTAAAAGAAAGGGGGAACCCGTTCCAACGTGCCTTGGTTGTGGAGAACTTGGCCACATAAAGCCATATTGCCCAAACCGCAAGGAAAAGAAGAAGAAGGAACGAGCATACATGACATGGGATTCGGAAAGTTCCGGTGACGAAATCGCCACCTTATGTCTTATGGCTCATGAACGAAATGGAGAGGTAAGTACTTCTAACTCTTTCTCATTTGAAGAATTACAAGAAGCGTTTCAAGAATTATTTAGTGAATTGAAGAAAACTTCAAAAATTGCCAAAGAGGCAAAGGCAAAAATTCATGCTTTGGAAGAGGAAAATAAATTTTTGGAAAATGATAATTTTGACCTTAAAAATAAGATTAAGGCAATGAATGAAGCTTCTTCCTTTGGCCAAAGTTCTACTTGTTCCTCTTGTGAGTCTTTAAAAATAGAGAATGTAGAACTTAAGAGCACCATAGAAAAACTTAAGGTAGAAGAGCCTAAGAAACTTGGTGAAGAATTTAAGAATGATAAACCACCTAGAAGAACAAATAATCCTAGGAATAGCAAAATTAATTTTAGAAAGAATAAAAATAATAAGTTGAGACAACCTAGAAATGACTCTAAGATTTTTATAAATGATAAGAAAAATTTGAGACAACCTAGAAATGAGTCTAGGAACTTAATTTACAATTCTAGGAATATTAACTTTAGATCACCTAGAAATTTTTTGGCTCAACCTAGGAATATGCATAATCCAAATGTAGTTTGTCATTATTGCTCTAAGAGAGGACACATATGTTAGAATAAGTGACCAACGCTAGAGGGGGGTGAATAGCGTTTGACCGTAGAAATTGCAGGAATAAAAAATTAAGAACGTGAAACGTAAAGAGCGTAAAAAGCGTAAAGGGAGCACACCAAGATTTATACTGGTTCACCACAATGTGTGGCTAATCCAGTCTCCCGAGAGACTCTCTCGAGCTACACTACTTCCGTTAAGCTTACAGGTGCTTAACAAACCGTTACAACCTGAGAACTCGAGTCCCACGAGCCTCAACAACACTTGCTCGGAGATACCACACTCCAAGACTTCAACCTGAAGGAAAATACATTTCCTTCGTACGACCAAGGGAAACAAGCTTCCCTTAACGTGTATACAACACCAAACACTCAAGAACAAATACTCTCTTTTAGAGTGGATATTGAGTAAAATATATACGCTCAAGAACAACTCAAACTTCACACAATTTGGCTCTAGAAAGCTATGGAAAATGATGTTATTTGAATGCAATGAAAGTATGAATATTGTGAAGTGAATTGATGTGTAAAGCAGACCCAAACNCAACCCGAAGGAAAATACCTTTCCTTCGTACAACCAAGGGAAACAAGCTTCCCTTAACGTGTATACAACACCAAACACTCAAGAACAAATACTCTCTTTTAGAGTGGATATTGAGTAAAATATATACGCTCAAGAACAACTCAAACTTCACACAATTTGGCTCTAGAAAGCTATGGAAAATGATGTTATTTGAATGCAATGAAAGTATGAATATTGTGAAGTGAATTGATGTATAAAGCAGACCCAAACACCCCTTTTTATAGTGCCAAAATAGGCTCCAACGGACCAATACATTAAAGGGGTGATTGGCTTGATTTATGGGATTGAATAAATTTGGGATCTGCGGGATATTGGCTTCCCATCGATGTTTGGAACTTACCCATCGCTGGTAAGCCAATTTTCCTTCAGTTTTGAAGCCAACGGTTACCTACCCATCGATGGGTACAAGCTTCCCATCGCTGGGTGGGAGGTTGACTTCCAAACAAGGAAAGAATCAACCTTAAATGACTTCCAACGGTCATGCCTTCCCATGGCTGGGTAATATCCTTCCATCGCTGGGAAGTCACTTACCCATGGATGGGTAATATCTCCCATCGCTGGGTAAGGGCATTCTGCCTTGTGATAATGTTGGACCAAGGCTTGAACAGCGATGGGTTGAGCTTCCCATCGCTGTTTGGCATGGTTCTGGAATTCATTTGGGCTGAAGGCTGCTTACCCATCGCTGGGTAATATCTCCCAACGCTGGGTGGCATGATTCTGGAATCCCGGAATCACTTACCCATGGCTGGGTGATATCTACCATCGCTGGGTAGATGGCTAGCCCAGAACCATGGCCTAGCCGACCGGCGCTAAAACCAGACCGAAAAATGCAGAGTTCTCCAAAGTAAAAACTAAGTATATAAAACACTTATTTAATGTATTGTGATGTCAAAAAAAGCTTTGTAAGTTGAAAACCACGTCGTTAAGGTAAAAACCACGGTTGACCAAGTCAACACTGTACACGGGTGGTTTTCACCAAAAGACAAAACCGAAAGGTGGTTTTCATGATGTTTTGATTGGAGAACCATTTAAATGCATTCAAAAACAATTTCCACACAAAAAGACTCGAAAACCACTTCATTTAAGTAAAAAACCACGGCTAGCCAAGTTTATGCCGTTTCGTATGGTTTTTATCAAACGACAAAAAACGAAAGGTGGTTTTTGAAGTGTTTTTGATGGAAAACTATTTAAATGTGCCCAGAAGTAAAAAAAATCATAAAAAGTTGAAAACCACTTGGTTGGTTCGGACGCCAAAAACCAACGTCAATAACCAAATGCCGAACGCCGGTTTCTGAAAAACCGAACGCCGGTTTCTGAAAAACCGAACGCCGGTTTCTGAAAGCCGAACCCCGTATGGCTTGGTTTTTGGTTTGGGCAAACACCAAGTGTTTTTAATATGTTTAAGCATGTTTGAAAATAATTTTGATGATATGTAAAATGCAATAAAAATGTTTTAGCCTAAAGAGCCAAAGTGCAAAGCTTGGGTCGGTCTTGATCACATTGTGACCGACTCAATGACGCTAAAGACTACGGTCTTCGTTCTTGGTCTCTTTTAGCTCTTGTTCTCTTTCTTTCTTCTTATATTTATTTCTCACCTTGTATATTCAACAACTTGTCTCGTTCATGGCGGTTTGGCATTATCAAAACCTTTCATAAAAACGAACACGGCTTTAGTACGAAAACGTGATAAACCCGTGTTTCAAAAACATAGCACCCGTTTGTTTTACCAAACACAGGGATATGTTTTATAGCTATGATTATCATTTGCCTAACCCTCAAGGACCCAAACGTTTTTGGGTACCTAAAAATTATTTTTAGATGCATATGTAGGTGTGTTTGAAGACTACATTTTTGTAGTGGATGCTCTAAGCACGAAACCTAATGATTTGCATCAAGGGGAGTTTGGGGGAATTGTTTTTGCTATAAACATGGTATCAGTTTCAGGGGAACAAACAACAATGATGCTTTGTATTAAACATCAATGCTCAGGGAGTACCTTTTTTTTAAACTTTACTTAGTGATTTTTGCTAATGCCAAAAGGGGGAAGTGTTTGGGTATATGCAACAAGTGAGGGGGAATCTTGTTTTCAAAGACGTAGGGGGAATTACCATTACTCTCTCTTTGAAAACCCAACTTGGCCTGCATATCCCCGCCTTGGTTTGTCATTATCAAAAAGGGGGAAATTGTTGGAAAACATTTTTACTTTGACATTTTGTTAATGACAATGCTTGTTTCCGTTTAGGTTTTGATATTGACAAACCGTCGGGAACATGGAACAAAATGAAAAGATCCAAAGAGATAGAAAAAGTTCTTTGAAGAAACAAAAAGCACAAGAAAGGCATTGACGTTGCTAAAGATGGCGACATTGGCGCTTTGAAGACGTTTTTAAAGACTTAGGTTTTTATTGTAACGAGCTCATTCAATTTCTCTACGTTGTTGGACAATGTGCTATCATGAATATATATTTTTGCAATGTCCTTTTCCCATTGTCTTTTAGGTTTTGATAATGACAAAAGGGTGACAAAACATCATCATCATTTTGTGCATCAAGGCTAAGAATCAAAGCTACAACAAGTTCATATCCGTCCAGGAAGAAGGGACTTGAGCATCGGTGGAAGGAACGAGGCCGAAGAGGTTGTTTCCTTAGTTGGGTAGTGTTTTAGGTCTTAGATTATATGTTAAAGAGTATGGCATATCTAAGTTTCATTCCCTTATCATCCTACCTTTAAAACACATTTTTTTAGCAAACTATTCGAATAAATTGAAAAATATTCGAATAAATCCCTGAAATTCTATTCTAACTTAGTTGAATAAATCCAGAACTAGTTGAATATGTCAGATTGCAGTTTCACCAAAACTAGTCGACTAAGTCTTGATTTAGTCGAATAGTTCGACAGTTTCAACTACCAAACAGCTAGTTTTTTGAATGCTTTTCATCCCTATCCACTCCCTAACTTCTATAAACTACCTACTTTCGTGATTATCTTTATAAGAACACTTAGAACACTTACTTCTTGTATAGGAAACTTATAGGTTTCTCTAAGATGAGTTAGGGGAGGAATATAGGTTCGTTCCGTTAACAAAACTAACGATTTAGTAAAGAACGAACTCAAAAAGGAGTAACGAACTCAGAAACTCTCTATAACGGTATAAGATTTCCTGAAGTTTGTATTTGCAACAATCTACTCCGTGTTGGGAGAATTACTCGATTGCGGTTTGTTTCCTTACTTTATTGTAAGGGATTTGTATTCTTGGTGTTGGGATTACATCAAGTGGTAGAAATCCTAACGGTTTGTGAAATCAAACGTTAGGTGGAAGAAATCCTGAGTTTTGTGAAATCAAAACTTCGGTGGTAAGATAAGAGGCTTGTAAAATCAAGTTCTCGAGTTGTATTCCAATTGTCAATCTCCGTTAAGTTTGACGGGTTAGTGAAGGCCTGAGCACGATTGCTTCGGGGACTGGATGTAGGCATTTAGGCCGAACCAGTATATATCGTGTGTGCATTGCTCGTATCCTTCACTTGATTTTGTTTGTGGTGCATTGTTTTTATTCAATATTCGTGAAGAATGTTTCCGCGCAAAAAAAACTCGTCTTTTGGGCAACACCTCTATTCACCCCCTCTCTAGAGGTGTGCGAGGCGTCCGACAAGTGGTATCCCGCTGAAAATTTAAAAAGATCATGGCCGGAAGAACATTTCAACCCGGAGTTGCCGAAGGACAATCCACGACAAGGCCACCACTCTTCGATGAGACAAATTATGCTTATTGGAAAGAGAGGATGAGAATATTCATCCAATCAAATGATTATGATTCTTGGATGGTGATCAAGCATGGAGAGACGGTTCCCACGAAGATTGTTGACGGGGTTCTTGTTCCAAAGCTAGAGACAGAATATACCTCAAATGACAAGAAGAAGATGCAACTAAATGCAAGGGCCATCAACTTTCTATATTGTGCCGTGAACCCGGATGACTATCGGAAAATCTCAAGGTGCAAGACGGCCAATGAGATGTGGAACAAATTAGAGGTCACATATGAAGGAACAAGTAAAGTGAAGGACTCAAAGATCGACTTACTCACCCATGAGTATGAACTTTTCATGATGATGGAAAATGAAACAATAGATGGCATGTTCGAGAGATTTTCAACTATCATCTCAAATTTGGATACACTTGGGAAGCATTATGAGGATCATGTTCTCGTTCAAAAAATCCTTCGAAGTCTCACACCGGAATGGAAGTCTACGGTCAACCCTATCAAAGAAGGCCGAGATTACAATACATTGACATATGACGCACTTCGAGGTAAACTACTCACTTATGAAATGTCTAACTTTTCTAGTGCAGTGAAGATCAAAAGAGATCAAAATCTATCATTCAAAGGAGTTGCACTCAAAGCTTCATCGTCAAAATATGTCGAGACAAGCGGCTCTGGAGAAAGTGATATTCTCGAGTTATTTAATGACTTCTTGCAAAATGAGCTTGAGCAATTGAATGAGAGTACAAAGCCTACTTGCTATGGATGTGGAGAGCGTGGACATATCAAGGGTCATTTTCCTAATCGAAAATTCAATAAGTCCAAACACCGAAAGCAATCCAACTATAGCTCCTCTTCCTCATCCGATGATGAAGTAGCCATTTGTTTTATGGCTCAAAGTGAATCTGAAGAGGTAAGTTCTTCTAACGATCCTTTTAGTTTTGAAGAGCTACAAGAAGCATTTGGTGATTTATTTAAAGAATTTAAGAAAGTCTCATCTATTGCCAAAGATTTAGAATATAAAATCACCTTTTTGCAAAAGAAAAATAATATTTTGCAAAAGGAAATTGATTCCCTCAAAATTGAAAATAAGACTTTTGAGGAGACTAATTTGAAATTAAATGATTCACATTGTTCTTCATGTAAGTCTTCTAGTCTTAAGATAGAAGCGCTTAAGAAAGAGGTAGACAATTTGAAATTAGCTATGAAGAAAGTTAAAAATGAATTTAGACTAAAATCTACCTCTAGAATTAAATACTATAGATCACCTAGAAATAAACTAAGTCATTCTAGGAATTCTAAGTTTGATAGACAACCTAGAAAGCACATCACACGTCCTAGAAACATGAACAACCCTAGAAATAGGTGTCATTATTGTAATAAAGTAGGACACATCACACGAGTTTGTTACACTAAGCATAGGCACTTACTTCTAAGTCAAGATAATGTGATGCATCGTTCATATGATTTTTATTATTGCCATAACACCCTTGGACCCAAAAGGCATTGGGTACCAAGATTTGCTTCGCAGATTCATTAAGGAAGGTGTGCTTGAACACTTCGACTTGAGTTGAAGTAGATGCGCCAAGCACATAATTGGGTGAAGCATCAATTAAGGGGGAAGTTGATTCACTTTATTAATTCCAACTAATGTTGATTTATATTTTAGTTGGACAATGTGATATTATTTGTTCGTTTGTAATGTATTTGCATGAGCATATATCTTTTTGCCCATCTCTTTTTGATAATGTCAAAAGGGGGAAGATGGTGTAGATATGCATATATACAGGGGGGATTGTATTTGTGCATATCTAAATGGGGAAGATAGTATAGATTTGTATGTCTTTGTTTGATTTATGATGCTATACTTGAGGGGGAACTAGCCTTGTATGATGCATATCTCCTAATGGGTTTGTCATTATCAAAAAGGGGGAAATTGTTGGACAATGTGCTATCATGAATATATATTTTTGCAATGTCCTTTGCCCATTGTCTTTTAGGTTTTGATAATGACAAAAGGGTGACAAAACATCATCATCATTTTGTGCATCAAGGCTAAGAATCAAAGCTACAACAAGTTCATATCCGTCCGGGAAGAAGGGACTTGAGCATCGGTGGAAGGAACGAGGCTGAAGAGGTTGTTTCCTTAGTTGGGTAGTGTTTTAGGTCTTAGATTATGTGTTAAAGAGTATGGCATATCTAAGTTTCATTCCCTTATCATCCTACCTTTAAAACACATTTTTTTTCAGCAAACTATTCGAATAAATTGAAAACTATTCGAATAAATCCCTGAAATTCTATTCTGACTTAGTTGAATAAATCCAGAACTAGTTGAATAAGTCAGATTGCAGTTTCACCAATACTAGTCGACTAAGTCTTGATTTAGTCGAATAGTTCGACAGTTTCAACTACCAAACGGCTAGTTTTTTGAATGCTTTTCATCCCTATCCACTCCCTAACTTCTATAAACTACCTACTTTCGTGATTATCTTTATAAGAACACTTAGAACACTTTGAAGAACATATCCTTTGAATATTCAAAGAGATTCTACTCAATCCCCTCCTTATATCCAAGCAAGGCAATTGTTTTGATTGCTAAATCATTTCTCGCTTGAGTTTTTCCTCATTGCTTGAGTCTTTGAGAGATATTGCCATATTCTAAAGGACTTCATTGTATTTGCAACAATCTACTCCGTGTTGGGAGAATTACTCGGTTGCGGTTTGTTTTCTTACTTTATTGTAAGGGATTTGTATTCTTGGTGTTGGGATTACATCAAGTGGTAGAAATCCTAACGGTTTGTGAAATCAAACGTTAGGTGGAAGAAATCCTGAGTTTTGTGAAATCAAAACTTCGGTGGTAAGATAAGAGGCTTGTAAAATCCAGTTCTCGAGTTGTATTCCAATTGTCAAACTCCGTTAAGTTTGACGGGTTAGTGAAGGCCTGTGCATGATTGCTTCGGGGATTGGATGTAGGCATTTAGGCCAAACCAGTATATATCGTGTGTGCATTGCTCGTATCCTTCACTTGATTTTGTTTGTGGTGCATTGTTTTTATTCAATATTCGTGAAGAACGTTTCCGTGAAAAAAAAAACTCGTCTTTTGGGCAACACCTCTATTCACCCCCTCTCTAGAGGTGTGCGAGGCGTCCAACATACGTCATGGCTCAAAACAAAATATGTTTTTCATGCATCAAATGAGTGTTTTCATAAATGGTTTTTAAGTTTCTAAAACCCATGGTTCTTGCTTAACCAAAACCATAACCATCGATTATCGGCATTCAGCTATGGCGTTCGGTTTTCGGCATTGGTTATTGGCATTGATTTTAACCAAATGGTTTTTGGGTTTTTATCTTTGGTTTATGCTTCTAGACACATTTAAAGGTTTTCCAAATCATTAGTTTTCAAAAACCATAACCCTTGTTTTTTCGGCGTTGGTTATCGGCATTCGGCGTTGGTTTTTGGCGTCCAAATTAATCAAGTGGTATTTAATATTTTATGATTGGCTTTTACTTCTGGACATATCCAAATGGTTCTCCAATAAAAGCACTTCAAAAACCACCTCTCGTTTTTGGTCGTTTGGCAAAAACCATGCGAAGCGGCATAAACTTGGCTAGCCGTGGTTTTTACCTTAATGAAGTGGTTTTTAAGTTTTTATACTTGGTTTCTACATAAAATACATTAAATAAGTGTTTTAAACACTTAGGTTTTACTTTGGAGAACTTTGCATTTTTCAGTCGGATTTGAGCGCCGGTCGGCTAGGCCATGGTTTTGGACTAGCCATCTACCTAGCGATGGTAGATATCATCCATCCATGGGTAAGTGATCCCGGGATTCCAGAACTATGCAACCCAGCGATGGGAGATATTACCCATCCATGGGTAAGTGATCCGGGATTTCAGAACCATGCCACCTAGCGATGGGAGATATTACCCATCCATGGGTAAGTGACTTCCCAACCATGGGAGGATATTACCCATCCATGGGAAGGCATGACCGTTGTAAGGCATTCAAGGCTGATTCTGTCCTTGTTTGAAAGTCAACCTCCCACCCAGCGATGGGAAGCTCTTACCCATCCATGGGTAGGTGACCGTTGTCTTTAAAACTGAAGGAAAAATGGCTTACCAGCGATGGGTAGTTCCATACATCGCTGGGTAGGCTAATTTCCTGCAGATCCACTTTTATTTAATTTCCAAAATTCATACCATTAAACCCAAATCAACTCCCATCCGTTACACATCATTTTTGGGTATAAATAAGGGTCTTTTGGGTCTCTTTTTCACAACCATTCCTCACACATTTTATAGTTTTACATTGCATCATTCCATAAACTTTTTACATAGCTTTTTAGAGCCATTTCTTGAGGAATTGAGTGCATTCTTGATCTAAATTAGTTTACTCATATTCTACTCTTTAAGTGAGTTTTTGTTCTTGAGTGGTTAAGTGTTGTGAACACTTTAAGGGAGGTTTGTTCCCTTGGTTGTACGAAGGAAAGGCATATTCCTTCGGGTTGAAGTCTTGGAGTGCGGTATCTCCGAGCAAGTGTATTGAGGCTCGTGGGACTCGAGTTCTCAGGTTGTAACGGTTTGTTAAGCACCCGTAAGCTTAACGGAAGTAGTGTAGCTCGAGAGAGTCTCTCAGGAGGCTGGACTAGCCACACGTTGTGGTGAACTAGGGTAAAATCGGTGTGTTCTTTCCTTACTCTTTTTTATTCTGCTCTTTACTTTATCCCTGCGATTTTTATTCCGCGAAAATTTATAAACATTCCCGTGCCTCACTATTCACCCCTCCTCTAGTGAAGGGCACTTATTCTAAAACTCATTAGATAACAGTCGATTAGTACTGAAATCGTATCGAGCGTAGACTCTAGTTGAACTTTCGTACTCAGGGTAGAGATGATGGAATAAATGAAAAATGTATGACTTCCTGATACGTTATCAACGTACCCATCACATCGCGAATGACAAAAATTGATCTGTGCCGTAAAGTCGCGTGGAAGTAAGACAACTCTAAAGAAATGATTAATGTTGATTTTACGAACAACACCTGTGAATCCAGTGCTGAAGATCCTCATTTGGACTCAGAATAACCTAATCGCCGATTCAAACACGAGTGTTTAGAATCAGTCAAACTCTGTTATCTAGAGTATCCCATTCTGATGTCTGATTCATTACAACACAACATGCGATTATATTGTGTGAATCGAAATCATTCATTAATTGACAATTCCTTACAAAACCTCGTTGAGATACCCTACAAGGAAATTGACATTATCCTTAATATGAATTGACTGAACGTCGTTGTTATTGACAACTTGTGATGAAGAATTCCTCAACTGAAGACCAATGATGTTAACCTCATATAGGTGAAAGCAAAGCTGATTATTAAACCGACCGAGTTCATTTTGATTGAGTATGCAAATGAAGATGGATCAATGGGACTTTGTACCAACTACTAAAAATCATTATCCTTTACCTCGTATCAATGACTTATTTGATCAGCTTAGAGGATCCATTGTGTTCTCTAAGAATTGACTTACGGTCAGGATACTATCAGATCCCTATTAAGAAACTCGAACGAACTGACAATCAAGAATCGTTATCCTTTACTACAAACTGACGACTTGTTCAGTCAAAGAATCTACTTGTTAGAAACGATGACAACTCAATCTTGTTGATAGAAGTCACACCTTGTTATGCAATGCCTAGTGACTTAATTGCTTTCCATCGAAAACATCGATGTAATCTGATTGAATAAATGAAACAAAGTGATACTTGTTATCAACTCGCTTATTTAATCCTAATGAAGGAATTTCTCTTATTGTAGTATGAGTCAAGAAACCGCTCACGGTCAAAGTAACCAAGTGCCAAACAACGAACACGAGAATGTTCATACCGAAGCATCCAGTTACACACCTCCTATTCAGAATGAACCAGTGAACCCACAAAATATTCCCCAAATGATCAAAATGTTGGAGGTCAACCTGATGCTATGCTACCTACCTTAATGGTAAACTTCTTACAACAAATGACTCATGCCCATATGTTTCAACCACCACCTCCACCACCACCTCGTTTGATCACTTTCAAAACTTTTAAAGACAATGGTACTGAGGAGTTCATGGGAGATCGAATTGCCGAACCCCAGATTGCTCTTGATTGGATCAAGCAGACTGCTCGTGTATTACAAAATTTGAACATACCTCTTGTTGATCATCCAAAATTTGCATCTCAATTACTCTGCAAGGAAGCTTATGAATGGTGGAAACGCATTAACGAAAATCCAAACATACCCAAACCTTGGACTTGGGAATTCTTCGATTGGGCATTCAAGAAAGAATATATCCCAGCCTAATTCCGTGAAGAGAAGCGTGCTGAATTTATTCAATTGAAGCAAGGAGATATGACACTCCCTGAATATCGAAAAAAATATGTCCACCTCGCTCAATTTGCACCCACACTGGTGAGCATAGCGGCTGACCGCTTTGAGGAGTTTCACAAAAGACTTCGACCAGATCTTAGGCCGCACGTATCTACTATTCGAACTGTGGATTTCATTGAAGCGTACGACTTAATCTCCAAAGCCGACAAAGATCAAAGTGATTACTATGAAAGTCTGAAGACTAAGGTTACCAACTCAAATGTACAACCAAACAAGTGAGAAGAGACCCCAGCAAAAAATTGATAGTGCCCTACACTCGAAAAAGGGAAAATCAATTGCAATTCAATCGACGTCATCAATGAACAAAATGAGAGTATGGAAACATCCAAAGTGTAATGTTTGTAAAAGGCACCATCAAGGAGATTGTTGGCTTGCACAAGGATTGTGTCTAGGTTGTGGTAAACCTGGACATTTCCGAAGAGAATGTCCCTCTAACCCTAAATCGTATTCAGTTACTTTTGTCCAAAATCAATATGTTCGTTCAGGAACAAGTCAATGTTCTAAAACCTAAAACAATTCAAAGAATCCAACCCAAGGATGATACTCTATAAAGATCCTAAAATGCTTAGAGGGCTCGAGGATATGTTGAATAATGAAGAACTTTCTGTAAACAATAAATTATCTCTTAATTTGTATCCCAAGAATATTCGTAACTGCTTGAATCTTCGTGTGTTGAACACTTTGTATAATAAAATCTTTCATTTAACCCATCTTGAAGAAAATGTTTGATATTTACATGATGCATTCTGACGTTGAAAATAAATATTTTTCTGACTTGCACTGGCTATGCATCTTAGAATAATAATTATGGTTAACTCATATATTGTTCATAGACAATATATTATTCCAACACAAATTCAACTGAAATTACATAAAGTAATATTACAAATGCAATTTTAAATCTAATCCCCCGGGAATTGCAAACTCGTCATAATTAGCCCTAGGACCCGGAAAGGCTTTAGCAAACTCTAGTTTGTCTAAAAGCTCATCAACGAAGAAAGAAGAAATGAAAAGTTTCCTCTGACTCAAAGCCATGAAGTTCTGCCTCACCGCATCATCTAGAAATTTTATTAGGTTATTGAAATAACCGTCAATATTCAATAGACCAATGGGTTTACTATGCAACCCTTCGGATGCCCATGAGATCAAAGTAAACAAACCTTCCATAGTATCAATTCCTCCAAGAAGTATTATGAAAGCATCTACAACATGATTCATCTCCAAATACTTATAGTAATTGCTGGAAATGGTGTACTCTGCACCGTACGTAGGACCGTAGACCTGTCGTGCGGCGATGTACCCCGGTATGAAACCTCTAACTATACCACCATAGGAATAGACTTTGGAAGCAACAGCTCCTTGAAGGCCAACGTTGCCTCCTCCATAAGTAAGCCTAATTTTTCCCCTTATCAATTCCCTTCATAAATCTACCGCCATAGCCATGAACTTTGGATATCAACCAAGAGCATGACTACCAAGTAGACCAACGAATCTTATGGTATAAGAAAGAGCTTGAGAAGTGCCTTCCATAATGTGAAAATGTGAGATACTCTTACCACAATCATGATATGTATAGGCTTTGAAGCCTGACCTTTGAGAAAAAGGGTAGTTATCCTGAGTCGAAATTTGTACAGTAAAGATGGATTCTATTTACCTACTGACAATGACGTACTCGAAAATACTACAGTCTGCTGACGATATGACATATTGAGACTCATGAACAGTTAGATTCGCTGCATTTAAATACGTTCAAATGCGAGACGAAAAGTCAAAATGGCTATTGCCTTAAGACAACGACCCCTTGAGTAATTTGAGAGATTACGTTACGACGTATGGATTCAAATTATCTCTAAATTTCCAGCTATGCCTATCGTGACCCTTCTACAAATGGTATTGAAGAACTTTTGAATCGAGAAAAGAATTATGTTGACCAATGATGTACAAACGAGACTCGTGACTAAACAAAGTTATGTACAAATATGTCAAGTATACAATACTACACACTATGAAGGAACTTTTGTAATCAATACCAAAAGTCAATGAAGGCTTTGCTTAATAGAAAATTGTTAATCTCTCGAAGGTTGAACGAGTTTACACTACGTCAAAAACAGATGCAGACAACTGTTCTTTTTAGTAGTCTAACTGTGCTAGTTTCAGTAGTCTTCCGAGCAGTTATCTGATATATTTACAGACTACTGTTTAAAAACAATTGTGTAATACGGTTGACGACACCTATTTTGTGATGTTTCAGAGTACATTTTTTTGGTGTTGTCCTCGTATGAGTAAGACATCTGTTACTAGAGGTAAAGATAAGTGTGATGTTTCGTTGTCTATTTATAATGAATATTACTGTTGTTTTCGACTTCAGACTCCTATTGCATGGTGTTGTCGTTCAACAATATAGACATCTAATTTCAAAAGTGGTTGAAAGATATATCAGACTGCTATTTGGAAGACTACTAAACAAAAATAGGATCAGACAACTGTTATCTTGTGTTATATTTCTAAAATATAGACTACTAATTTTGTTGTATTTTAAACAACCGTTTCTTTCACTTGTATAGTGCTCAATAACACTACGCTTTTTTGTAGTTGTCCATGAAATATTCAAACTATCTTTTTACACAGTAGTGAGATTGTGAATCAGACTACTGCTCCGAAGACAACTAAGTATGTTTGCATAAGACAACTGCTATTCTGTGTTGTATTTGTAATCTTTAAACAACTATATTTGTTGTATTTCACACAACTGTTTATTTTTATTATCTTACATTTATTAACAGTACATGTTTGTGTAGTTGTCCTTTAAAGATTTAGAAAATTGTTTCAATACATTGTAAAGCTATTTGAAAGACTACTATATTTCAATTTACATTTATATTTAATAAATAAAATTTATTTCAATTCCAAAATATTGATCAAGAAACAAAAATGAATTCTAAAATGTAGAATATATTGAATAATATCTAAATACATACAACCAAAGTTTAAATAACATACAATAATTTAATATTTACATAATTAAAATCACACTCTAATTGTCTATTCGGCATGCCTAATTTAGTTATTTGTCCCCTCAATAACATTTCTGAATACATCTCTTGCTCTAGTAATATTTTCTTGTAAAGCATCCACTTTAGTCCTCAATCTGCATACCATTGAATAATTAAAATGAATGTTTGTTGATAACAAGAAAGAGTTCATAATAAAAATAATCGAAACTTTTTGGAGTTATTTGCTAGCTTAATACCTCCAAAGTAGTTCATATACATATATTTAACAATTGAAGTTCATCAATTTGCACAATATAAGAAGACCACATAGCAGAAGTCGTGCTCTTAAGAAGCCAACCTGAATGCGACATACAATAAACCTAGTTTTATAACAAGCAAATAAGAGAATAAAAATGCCAATTTTCAATTCATACATTATCCAGCAACTCCTTGATTGACAAGTGCGCAACAAACCGTGTTACAGCAGGGACTAGCCTTACTGCACCAAGACACAGATCCATTTTGGTAAAAACCGAGACAGAATTATATAGGTATAAAAGAACATAATGATAACTTGATGAACCCCTTCTAAATAAGCTTAACAATGGACAAATTTAGAAAACCATGTCCACACATAAAGCTTTGAAAATTGAAAAAGTAGACTAAGCAAAGAAAATAATTGAATGGTATTTACCAACACTGCATAAAACAGAGCTTGATAAGATATCATCTTCCTCAATCCCAGATACTTGGACTCGTAAGTTCTCCCCAAGCCCCGCTTCTCGCACTTTATCTTCATCAATGAGTATGACAAGAACCTTAAGAGGAGCCTAAAGAAGCAAAAGAAATGAAAACTCTGAGATGGTACCACAAAATGAGATTAGTATATTCACTCTTTTAATAATCAAACAAATCCTGTGATTAAAGTGACAATTGAAAGCCCAAAGTCAACACACATAACTCATATTAGATTCAAAATAAAATCAAACCAACCTTTCAACACAACCAAAACCAATTTCAGATTTTTTGAAGCACTTAAACATAAGAAATTGTACTAAAATAGAAGATGAACACAAAATCAAACCTAATCAAGGAAGAATCATATAAAGAACAAACCAAATTTGTAGATTATACCAAGAAACAACCATAGATGCTAGTTTTTTCGGACTTTAGGGCTGGACATGCTGTTAAATCGTCTTCAGGTCGCTGCAAACCGTCGCTCTCCTTAGCCATGCATAGTATTGTACATCGTTGCTACTCCATCGGAAATCGGGGCTGGGCTAGGGTAAAATGGCAAACCTGTACCAAATGTTATGACATTGCCTAGAAAATTTCCACCCCCTCATCACAGCAAGAAGAATCCACACCACCCCTAATACACAACCCAACTAGAAGGAAACAGCAACAAAAACACAGGCCTAATTATGCCTAGTGGTACAAATCCATAAAGTCATTCATCAATGAAGAATAAACAAGTTTGCTGGACCGCAAGACCAAAATCAACACAAACAAGTTCTCAACATCGTCAATGAGAACCCACAAAAGCTGGACCCAAAATCAGGCATGGACCAGTGCCAATCGCACTCCAGTGTCGCAAAATGAACAGGGTAAACCTAGCCTCAAAATCCAAAAAACGAATAAAAATCAAACGGGAATGAAATCCACTCTCATACCTTGAAAGAGGATCACAAATCGCCCATAATCTGAGAAAATTGGCCATCAGAAGTTCTTGGAACAACGTGAATCAAGCTGCAAAGTTCACGAGTAAACAGTACCATCCCAAGCGTTGACCTTCGATTATTCATAATTCAGCCGCAAAATCAGCAATTCAACCTCTAATATGGAATCTCCCGCTGTAGGCAAAGCCAGAGTTCCAAAAATCAAAAGAAAAGAGCTCAAAATGAAGGAGAAATGGCGAAGAACAGCATCGTGGCAGTGTTCATTCGTGTTTCCTAGAGAGAGAAGGATGACCGAATTCTTAGATAGCAAAAGAGAAAAGTATAAAAGGAGGGATTCTGAAAATTTAAGGAGGGAAAATGAAATTTGAGGTGATTTTGAAAACAAAAGTGAAGAGGAATTCTAAATTTCGAGGAGGAAGTTGTCAAAATGTACCGCTGCTTTGGAGAAGGGGATGCAAAATGTTTTAGTTTTCAGACTTCGAATATTTGTTCAATTTTTACTTTTTGCAATCAATCATTTTAAATCTTTGATCTATAATTAAATAAAATATATACGGAGTATTGTATATTACTTAAATAAAATAATATTTTGAAATATTTTATAAAATAAACAGAAAGCGTAATATAATTAAGTAATCAAAGTAAAAAGAAAGTGTAAAGACACACAGAGCCCAATATAGATTCAAGGTATATTAACCTTTTAATTCATTTCAACAAAAAATTATGTATTCCCTCAATTTTTGGTTAAATTATTAGACTTCATCTCAGTTTTGCATGTTTATACTTATTGTATTTCAAAAAAACACAGACATATAAGATTATACCAAATCAGATAACTACATCTCAGTTTAACATGTTTATATGTTGTTTAGATGATATCTAATCAAATCATATCTCATCAAATTAGATTAAATCAAATCAAATTAAAAGAGTTTTAAATATAACTGCAATTAGATCAAGCAGATTAGATCTATTCCAATTAGATCAGTCAAGATTAGATCTAACCAGATTAGATAAGATAAGATCAAATCAAATTCAATCAGATCTTATTGCTTGCGCTTATTCAATCAAATCCAATATGAAAATCTATTCACTTGTATAGGTTGTGTCCTATTTGCCTGATCTAATCTTTAAACGCATTAAATCGGACATAATTAGATCGAATTAGGCCAAAATAGATCTAATCGGATCGAATCAAATTCAAATCCAATAAGATGAGATTAAAACTTGAAGGAAATCTATTCACTTATATAGGTTGTGTCCTATTTGCTTGATCTAATCTTTAAATGCATTATATTAAATCTAATTAGATCGAATGAGACCAAAATAGATCCAATCGAATCGAATCAAATTTAAATCCAATAAGATGAGATCAAAACTTGAAGGAAATCTATTCACTTATATAGGTTGTGTGTCCTATTTGCCTGATCTTATCTTTAAACGCATTGAACCAGACCAACTTAGATCGAATCAGACAAAAATAGATCTAATTGGATAAAATCAAATTCAAAACAAATAAGATCAAATCAAATCTTTTAAGAAAATCTAAACTTTTATATAGGTTGTGTCCTATTTTCCTTATGTAATCTTTAAAAGGATCAGATCGGAGCTAATTAGACCGAATTAAACCAAAACAGATCTTATCAGATCAAATAAAATTCGAACATAAAGATCTATTTACTTGTATACGTTGTGTCCTAGTTCTTTAAAAGCATCAGATCGGACCTAATTAGATTAAATTAGACCAAAATAGATCTAATCGGATCAAATGAATTTTGAATCTAATAAGATCAGATCAAACTTTCACAGGAAACCTTTTTACTTGTATAGGTTGTGTCTTAATTGCCTGATATAATCTCTAAATACATCAGATTGGACATAATCAGATCAAATCGGACAAAAACAGATCTAATTGGATCAAATCAAATTCATGTCCAATAAGACTATATCAAATCTTCAAAAAAAAATCTATTTACTTCTCTACGCTGTGTCCTATTTGCCGAATCTAATCTTTAAATGCATTAGATCACACCTAATTGATTTGATCCGTTTAGATCTGTTTTGGTCTAATTCGATCTAATTATATCAGATCTAATGAATTTAAAGATTTGATCAGCCAAATTGGAACTGTGCAAGTAAGTATTTTAGTTATCAGTACCGGTATGATGTTATACGCTCAAAAATATGGGTATCTTGTGGAATTGGATCCATGTGAGTAAGAAATTCAATTAACAAAAAAATGTATCTCTAATTAAAAGTGGTACATAAAAGTGAGAAAATTTATGGACCAAAAAACTTTTTTGTTTCAAAAATCAAATTGATGATTCTAAAAATTTTCAAGTTATCTCAAATTTTAGAATCCCTCCATATTTTTCATCTCCCGCCTAGTATGTGCCATTAGGTCTATCGCGTCCCCTTCAAAATATCTCTTCTCCAATAGAGATAGTTTTTGTCATCTTCTTCAAAATCGGGCGATCTTAAAGAGGCTTTGGGCGGCGCTGCAGAGGAGAGAGAAGCACCATCACCGCCTTCGACGTCAAACCCACGGCAGTCTTATATAGAGCCGTGGCGTTGGGTCAGGGCGGAGGAAGCTTCCAGACAGATTATTCAGAAGGTACAGCCAACGTCTGTCTCCGCAGAGAGGAGGCGAGCGGTCTTCGATTATGTTCAGAGGTTGCTCAGGGGAACTCTAGGACTCGAGGTTGGACTTTAATTCAATCTGTTTTCTTAGGCTCCTTCATTATTGGGGTGCTAATCTGTTCAGCATAAACATGAAATTTGGATCTTTCTGAAATGAGTCCCGTTTTGTCTGATTGCACAGAATCACATTTTGTTTGATGTATTAGATAAAAGTTTGTTTCTTGTTAACTTTGTGCTGAATTTTTTTGGACGCATTTGCTTTGAAGCTTGTAAATGCTCATTGTTGTATCCACATACACGATATCACTTTCATATGTATGTTTTTTTTTCTTTTTTGTAGTTTTCAAATTTGTGGTAATATTGAGCTAGTGATGTATCTTGAATGCAGCATACTTCTATCAGCTGGGTTAATGATGCAACACCATGCAGACCTTTTTGGTGGCTATTTCTCTGTGATTGTGAATGATTGGTAATCCTATTTCAGGTTATGAAGTTGGATTTCAATCCCCTTTGATTTTTTTATTCGATTCAAGGTATTTTGGGTATCGTATTTAATGTTCACCTCGCGACTTCGGATTATGCATCTTTGCTTGGTTTTGGGCTAACTTTTGTGGATTCTTTGCTGATTATTTGAGAGGTTGTTCATGTTAACAACACTTCTTTTAATTGTGCATTCAAGTATTGAGTTGGAGGAATGAAGTGTTGTTCTCTGTGACGGACCTTCTGCCCTTCGAACTGCTGTTCATGCTGTTCTTTTTGTGGAGTGTGTGACTTATGTTTTTGGGTGTTTATGCTGTGATTTTTTTGGAAGAGCATTTGCTGCAACTTTGGTGAAATTCCTTTGGATGACCATGGTTTACTGCATTTTTCCACTGGACAGTGGAGAATGCTACTGCAAATTGGTCTTGCTGTTGCTCACCTGGATATGTTTTGAACCATGCTTTGAGTGATGAATTTACTGACCACTGGGGTTCAATCCATGAAGAATACATTGCCTGTGGTGCTGTACCCATAAACTGCATAATGGCCAGTTGTCCCCGCTACCCCCCCTAATGGTTATGGCAGAGCCTACTAGGGATGATTTGGGGTAGAGGAACTGACCAATGCTTGAAGGAAAGTGTAGAATATGTGGCATGCTATATATTCCATGTGATTATCTTGTGATGTGAGTTTGATTTTGGATCTTGACTACTACACGAACTGGGAGAATGTTTTGCACCACCGGGTAGGGCTGTTGCTGACCCACAAGTGGCTGTGGGCAGCATATGGATTACCTACAGTATTTTTTGGCAATGCTTAAGTTGCTGCCCAGATTTTGCAGCTGGTTTGGAGCTTCTATTTTGCATAATTCCATTGGAAAGCTTCTGTTTTGGATACGAGGGGCTGAAGATTGGAAAACCTCTGACCAAGGAGATCCTGCTGTTTTGGCCTTGGAAAACTGCCATTTTTATGTTCCTTTGTACGTTTGGGCTGGGAAATAGAGCTAGAAGTGCTTGAGCAGCTGTTTTAGACTTGGAAAGATGTTTTGGGCTGCACATGGATGAAAGGAAGTGTTACTGATTTTGTATTTTGAGCTGATTTTGAGCTGATTTTGTTTTGGAAATTGGAGTATGGATTTGGGCAGCGTGGGTGTTGATTCCTCCTGTTGGTCCTCGGTTTTACCTCATTCTTGGAGGTAATAACCAATTGGGTCCTGCTGGTAGGCCGCCCTTTGTCTCTTCTTTACCCTTTCTGTTGGGGTATTTGGAAGAACTTGGGTTATCTCGGCCAACAAGTGGAGCTTGTAGCTGACTGGTTTGCCATCTTCTTTTTGCTTTTTTTTCTTTTATGAGTGAGATTGATTGATTGTATGAGTTCCCAATTCCTTTTGTGTGTAGCGGGACATTACACAGCCTGTCCATGTACTTTTTATTTTCTTTCAATAAAAGTGTTTATTTTTTTAAATGATACGTAGTAATTGTTTTAAACATCAGTTATTTGATTGTTGTCTAAAGTTTCGCCCAAAACTACGAAAGTGACGTTAGATAGCGTACACATATTCATTGTAGTGAAGGTTATCGTGTCTTTGAACTTTAAAAAAGTTTGAGACTTAATAGCTAAACTACTATTTAAAGAGAGTATTCTTAACTTATTATAAATAACTCTAGCAAAACAATCATATGACACAAACAATTAGTAATAGATTACTATATCTCATAATTTTAAAAATAGTTCTACGCTTACTAACCACACTACTCTTTAAAAGAGTTTTCTTAACTTATTCTAGACAATTGTGAAAAAAACCCGTGTGACACAGACTACTAGTAATACATTACTGTTTCTCAAAACTTTAAAAAAAGTTCTAGGCTGTATAGCCTGACTATTGTTTAAAATTAGTATTCTTAATTTATTATAGACAACTGTGGCAACAAAAACCATATTTTGATGTGACATAGACAACTACTAATAGATTACCGTTTCTATGATCTTTAAAAACAGTTGTTAGCTAAGTATTTAGACTATTGTTAAGAAAGAATATTGTATTCTTATTATAAACAATAGTGCCAAAAATTCTATATGACACAGACAACTAGCAATAGATTATTGTTTCTCATTACTTTAAAAACAATTCTAGACTGAATAACTAGACTACCATTGAAAAAGAATATTCTTAACTTATTAATGACAACTGTGATAACAAAAACTGTACTTTGATATGACACAGACAACAGACATTAAAATACTGTTTCTCGAAACATTAAAAATAGTTTTAAGCATAATAGCTAGACTACTACTTTTGTAGCCAACAACAACAAACAGTAGTTTGATTTTTTTAACTACTGTTTTTCCATTAACAGTAGTTAATGGACAGTCGTCTGACACTGTTTTTGGCGTAGTGTTAATGATATCACGGTTGAGAATGCATATCTGTAAGATAACGATGTAACCATATGAACGAGACGCAGTCAGGATGTCAATTATGGACCTTGGAAGAATTTCGAGGACGAAATTCCTTTAAGGGAGGAAAAATGTAACGCCCCAAAACATATCCTAGAATTATTAATAAATAAATATTCGATTAATCAAATTTGTTTTGATTAAAATAAATTGTTGTTGGGCTTTGATACGGAATGTGTTTTAATATCCATTATCACAATCTGGAAAAATCTCATAGAGATAAATCCAATATGTTGACTATTTGTGTGGTCTTGATTAGGAACCTGTGTACAGACCCAAAATCAAGAATAAATGAAGAAATTATTTATGAAGTGAACTTTAAAATAATTTATTGAAATAAATCATGAGAATAAGTAATATGAATTAAATGAGAGAACTTTTTTGAATAAAAGTCAACAAATCAATTTTGACTCTGTCAAAGTCAAACACCCAAAATATGGTATCAGAAAAAGTATTACAAATAAATATAAAAATTATATCGTTGGATAGAGTTTAACTGTCCGATCGCAATGGTACAAACGGATTTCAATTCGGAGAAAGTTGGAGATCGTCGCTGAATCCACTCAACCGATCGTGAGTCACAAATGACTAAAAAACAATTGGCTACTTCCTTCTCCAAATGCTATAAATTGGCACCCTCACTTCTCTCAATTCTACACTAAACTTCCTGAAATTAGTACCATAAGAATCTTGAGAGTGAAGGGAGTAATGTGATACTATTAATTACCGTCGAGGTCGCTAGAGCAAGCCATGGTGTTCGCCGGAAGTTTCGCCGTCCAATAGCCGGAATCATCTTTTAGCTCTGAGGTAAGCCCGTAGATATATTTAGTGATTAGAATGTTCGTATAGATCGTTTCTACGTTCATAAACGGGGTTTTGGTTGAGTTTTGTGTTTGACATGATTGAGGAACCAAGAATCATAAACCTTGAATGTGTTGTTAAAACTTCGAATTGATGCCTCTAAAATGATCTACGAACCTTGGAGAACATTTCTATATAGTTCAATTGGAGTTTAGCAACCTAAAATGAAGCTTGAGGAAAATGGCCGAAGGAAGAAGATGATGAATAGTAAATTCTGTGTTGATACGGGACCTTGGTACCGTGACTAGGTACCGTACGACTTAATCTACAAAGACGACAAAGATCTAGGTGGTTACTATGAAAGTCTGAAGACTGAGGTTGCCAACTCAAATGTACGACCAAATATAAGTGAGAAGAGACCCCTGCAAGAAATTGATAGTGCCCTACACTCGAAAAAGGAAAAATCAATTGCAATTCAATCGACGTCATCAATGAACAAAATGAGAGTATGGAAACATCCAAAGTGTAATGTTTGTAAAAGGCAACATCCAGGAGATTGCTGGCTTGCACAAGGATTGGGTCTAGGTTGTGGTAAACCAAGACATTTCCGAAGAGAATGTCCCTCTAACCTTGAATCATAATCAATTACTTCTGTCCAAAATCAATCTATTCGTTCAGGAACAAGTCAACGTTCTAAAATCCAAAACTATATAAAGAATCCAACCCAAGGATGATACTCTATGAAGATCCTAAAATGCTTAAAGGGCTCGAGGATATGTTGAATAATGAAGAACTTTGTATAAACAATAAATTATCTCTTAATTTGTATCCCAAGAATATTCGTAATTGCTTGAATCTTCGTGTGTTGAACACTTTGTATAATAAAATCTTTCATTTAAGCCATCTTGAAGAAAATGTTTGATATTTACATGATGCATTCCGATGTTGAAAATAAATATTTTTCTAACTTGCACTGGCCATGCAACTTAGAATAATAATTATGGTTAACTCATAATGTTCATAGGCAATATTATTCCAACACAAATTCAACTGAAATTACATAAAGTAATATTACATGCAAATGTAATTCTAAATCTAATCCCCGGGAATTACAAACTCGTCATAATTAGCCCTAGGACCCGGAAAGGCTTTAGCAAACTCTAATTTGTCTAAAAGCTCATCAACGAAGAAAGAAGAAATGAAATGTTTCCTCTGACTCAAAGCCATGAAGTTCTGCCTCACCGCATCATCTAGAAATTTGATAAATAAAATTGTTTGAAAAGTTTAAAATTTTTACAATTACCAAGTTAAATATTTTAGTCCGAAAGGGGCTGCAGACCTAGACGGATTAGGGTGTTACAAAAACTACCTAAAAACAATTTGTGTTTATAAAAAATAATTCCAACAAGAGTTTTATAACTCAACTACAAGAAAGACAAAGGGAACCAAGAAATTGTGTCTGTCACTATCCAGCCATCTTGAACCTCTTCTCCCCGTGTTTTGCATAAAAAAAGTCAAAGTTTATTAGAACTACTTCTTTGGGAATTAAAAGAGAAGAGTAATATTCAACACGATTAGGAATAGGTACAACAAGCATTGAACCCGTAAAAACTTAACAAAGAACTGTACCAACATCACATCATAGGCAAGATCATCCAAATTAAAAAACAGTGGCAATCATGAACAAGGAGCCCTCAAAAAAGAAAATGCAGATTATATACCTGGGCCCAGACCAGCCCCTTAAAGGTGTTTCTAGATTTAGGGTAGCATACATTCTATAGCCACTCAAATACTTGCGTGCTCTGTTTGCAATGTCAAGAACATTTCATAAAAAGAATTGAAATTCCCATCAAGTAGAATGTTAGTCACTGTCAAGATGTCATCACTAGAACCAAGGCATAAAGAGTACAAGCCAAATCATCAAAAACAAGTTTAAAAACACACAACCAAGGGGTAGAACAACTCTAATCCAAATAGAGTTTTTTTTAAAAAAAGACTGTTTGAGAGATTTTCCATGCACTGAATTAGTCTGCTTCACTAAGCCATCAAACTTGTGAATCTCTTTCTCAAAGCCAGTGTGTCTGCAGTGTGTTCTTCATCCCCAAGACATTAGTGGCACTCTCCAGAAGTTCTCTATCTTGTTTTATCCTCTCCCCTAGCTAGAAGTTTCCTGCACATTGTCTTTAAGAGTTTTGACAACCAACACCAACATATCTCTTCTCTCTGCTACTTTCTGGAAAACTCAGTGCGATAGTACACATCCACCTAAAGATCCTTAATCTCCTTTTCCAAGAATTTAGGCTATGTAGAGATCTGTACTGGCTGTCCAGGCATCCTTGACACATTCCTAAGCCATGTCATTGAAGTGTTTTCCCTCAAAGTTTCTACTGTCTACTTAAAGGAGAGGAGGGGTAGGTTCTTCTTCTTTAGCTTCTTCTTTCTCAAACCCTTGACTTTTCAGAATGCCATGGATGATGAGAGGATAGGGAAACCCATTCTAATTGTGTTTGTTTTTGTCAGCAGCAAAGACCATGACTTGCTCAAAGATAATTCTCCAAAGGTCAAAAGGAATATGATTCTTGATTTTATAGAGTAGAGTGGCCTAACGCCCCAAAACATGGTCTAAAAGTTATTCTATAATAAAAGTATATCAGAAAAAATATTTTAATCCAACAAAATATTATTTCTATGTTTACCTAAAAATGAAGGAATTTTTTGAGTCAATGATGTTTTGTTAAAATTTAGTTTTATGAATAGGTCTCAAAGAGTCAAATCCAACGGTATATTTTATGAACAAATCTAATGCACAGATTTTGAGTTGTGACATTTTAAATATGTAAATTTGCATAAAAATGAGAAATGGTTAAAGATAAGAACTTTTGTAAAATGATTTATTGAACTAAATCTTTTAAACCGAATAATATTGATTGAATATGAGAGTACTTTTAATTATATATCAATTAATTCAATTTTGACTCTGCCAAAGTCAATACTCAAAAACATGGTGTCAGAAAAAGTATTTCAAAAAATGTGAAAATTATATTGTCGCATAGAACTTGATTGTCTCACTGTAACGGTACAATCAAATTTCAATTTGGAGAATGTTAAACCAAAAAGCATATCCAGATTTGACCATTTTAGTCTCAATCAAGGAGAGATATGTGAAACTTTGAAAGATCAGCTGCCACCCCACTACGCCAAACGAATGATCAAAGAAAATCACCCCAAATGAAGTCAGCAAACTTCATACAACTCTTCTTCTTAAACTATAAATGGATCACCATTTCTCCTTCAATTTTCCACCAAAATTCTTCATTCTTATTCCTATAGTTTCATTAGAGTATAGAGTATAGACCGCAATGCATCGTCGTCGTCGAAGTCGCCGGAGGTAGCCGCGGTTCTTGCCGGAAGTTACCCTGGAAAATTGAAGAAAGAAAATTACTCTCTGAATTCTTTTGTTGTGTCATGGTACAACTCAGCTTCATTGCTGAGCGTGTAGACTTTTTCAACTTTCTACACGTAGGTATGAGAGAGAATAAATGTGGAGCTTATTCAAGAGATTAGTGAGATGGAGGTGATGCATGGACGTGCACAAATCTATTATTTAAGTAAATGATTTTATCACATTGTTGACCAAATTGTTTTAGTTTGTAAATTGCTTCCGCACTATTTTAAATAATTTTACTCCGATGTTATTATGAAATATTTAGCACAATTGTCGAAATAAAGTTTTTTTTTAAATGTTTGAAAATTTTATGTTACCAAGTTAATACTTTAGTCCAAAAGGGGATGCAGACCTGAACGGATTAGGGTGTTACAATACATATATAGAAAAACAATGTTGGTGTGTGTTGTGGGGAGAGAGTGAGAAGCTGCAATTCTAAAGAGTATAGCTTATGAGCTTTTAAGCACAGAGGAGGGAACTTTAGATTTTCCCGATTGAGATTTTCTTTTATCATTAGTGAGATCATTCTAGATAGTGCTTTCATTAAGGTGGGGCATGACAGGACAAGAGTTTGTGCAAAGAAAAGTATTGATAACATACTCCACGAGAGAAGTCATAGAGTTTTACATGAAGAAATAGTTTGAGAAAAGAAGGATCATCATAAGATATACACGAATCAGACAAATTGGAGTATAATTCTTTAATCAATCTTTTCACAAAAGATCAAGGGATAAAAAAAAAATTTAAAGAGATTATTTTTGCGAAGAATGGGAAGCAAATTGGATTTTCATTGAAAGTCACAGACATCAAGGTTTCTTTGGAGAATGATGAACTTTCCTATGATATCAGGTAAGAATGCTTTTGAAGAAGCAGAAACAAAAAGCTTAAGAGAGGACTTCCTCAGGCCAACATTGGCTTTGGATGTTGTGTACTTTCTGGACTCTGATCTCTTGCGAAGGAGCTAGGTTGGAGATTGAGATGCTTTTGAAGGTTGTACCTTCTTGGAGCAGGGTACTCGTGTAGTGACATCTTCTTCTTTGGCCTTCATCTTCTGGATACGAGAGGAATATGGCTTCTCCTTTTGTTTCCTCATCTCATTTTCATTTGTCTGAATCTCTCTCAGATTCAAGATTCTCCTTCATCTTTCTCATAGACCACCGTTGTGGTCCATTTTTTTCACCTTCACTTCATTCTGGCAGGGATCTTTGGTGGCAAGGAAGGGGACATCAGAGCAAGCAATCATTGGTTCTTCTTCAAGAACATTCAACAGAACATCTTCTTTGCCAAGAATCTATTCGCCTTCACTTTTGGGATGATCTTCATTAGTTTGGCAGGGTGGATTCAAGGGAGTGTACTCAAGGTAGAGAAGTTTGGTTGATTTGGAGACCGGATACTTGAGCACATCTTCTTCCTCATCTAGAAAAGTGATGGTTTGTTCCACCTCAAGCACTATAGGTAGAGGGGTGGACAGGGTGAAGGAAGATTATCCTTCTTTTTAGAATAGTCTCATCCACAAAGATTTGATGAACCTCTTCTTCTTGAGAGATTGCCGCCTTGTCCATCTTTGCGGAAGAGCAATCTTGGTTCGCACCATCCTTGTAGAAGGGAAGATTTCTTGGTGGTGGGGTGATATGGTTTCCGATGTGATGGAGAGGCGGAGATACTTGTTTGAAATTCAAAAAATATATGGGTCTCTTCAGTGCATATATATAGTCCTAGAATTTAATGTAATGGAATTTCATAAATCCATTCAATAGTTACTACCTTAGTTTCTTTGACGATGAATAATAAGTACAAGTGCATTGGTACGAACATGATTTTACATAGTTATATATGTGATCAAGATGGTTGTTCATGATGATGGAACACGATAAATGTCATGATGCATGAACTAAATTGTGCAATGACCTCTTGCGCTCTGAGATCACACCGTGAGGGTGATGATTCGGGCAAACCTTAGTGTCATTGGTGAGACTAAAAAATATGTGGGTGGCATCCAGAAAACCTGGATTACCATGTACATACACTAAGCCCCTATTTGGTACCCTCCCGACTAGTAAGTCCTGCATGGGTTGCGATAAGAGTCACACTTGGCCTGAGACCTTGCGCGAAATGAAATGAAATGATATGCTTCCTATATCATGCGCCTATGTCATGTATAATGAAATAAATAAAGCATACAAGATTGAGTAATCCAAGAACATATTAATCAAGATAGAAATCATACAGTAGCTTGTTTGGAAAAAGTGGAATCATGAAATATATATAAGTAAAAACATCTCAAGGATTTTCGCAGTTGGGTTCAGGCATATTTTGTGACCATGATGGTCAATCGTGACCTATGGCGGTTGACCATTCTTCTATTTTGGTTGAGGTACTTCATTGGATGGTTGTCCATGCTGCTGGACCATCTATGCCTTCATGCTTGTTGGTTGTACACAATTGGACTGCAGACGAGAGGGTCTCTTAGAGAGCCCGTAATGGTCCACCGTGCTCACCCACAGTCGACCGTTACACTCGCAGATTTCAGGGGATGCCTGTCCCGGTCCACCAGGCTCGCCGACAGTCGATCGTGGTGCAAGCAACAAACTTGGCCATAGTCCCTTTAGTTATTTTTTCATGCGTAAAGTTTTGTTTTCATTATGGTTGTACATTTTAACATTTAGGCTAACAAGTATACATATTCTTGAGTGATTTCAATGTATAAATTTAAGAATATTGTTTGAGAATGATCTAACAACTAACTTAACCAACTGGTTGAACATATAATATAAATAAATACGCCTAAGTACATATTTATAAAACACATATGTTTGGGAATGAATTTAAATGTTCATATAATCATCAAAATGTAGTCTAGGTATTTCCAAATTTTACACTCTATATTCCAATTATACACCTAAACATAATCAACTATCAAGTGATGCTTTTATAGCCTAACTATTCTACTGCTTTTACTTCAAGATCCATATGGTTTAGGCTTGAGTCAAAACATCAATTTACTCTTTGAGTTATCACTTAACTTCATAACGTCTTTTAGACCTTTCTTATTATTCTCTACGGAAGATTAATATCTCAAGAAAATGTCATGGGATAAATCTATATACATATATTCATATAAAAAACAAATGTATTTGCATATAAATATATTAAAGATTCCTCCATTATATCTAAGAGGTACTTACCTTGAGTGTGATATGACAATTTCAACGCTAGAAAGAACCGAACGAATCAATGATTGGTCAACAAATGGACATGAAGGCTATTAACCTTCCAACATCCAATTAAGTTCTTGAGTTTAGATTCTTCTCCCAAGTATGTGGTAGGGGTTGTAGGTGATTGGCACGGACCAAACCAATACTGGATCGAATGGGATGGAAAGAGAACGGTTAAAAACAATTGTGTAATACAATTGTGTATATATGTTCAAAAGTTCTTTTTAGTAGTCTTTTTAATAGAAAATTGTTAATCTTTCGAAGGTTGAACGAGTTTATATGTGGGGTGTCAAAAGCTATGTCACTCCATAATTAAAAACTGACTAGCACGGTACCCGTTTGTTTACCCAAATAGTTTCGAATTGAAATAGTCAAAACTAAATTTAGAAAAACATTATGGGAGGGAGTATTATGTTTTATAGACATTTTTGCATTTTATTATTTTATTTTAGTTTTTAAATTTTTTAACTGAAATGCATTTTCAAATTTTTAAAACAAAGGTTTTAGGTATAATATTAAATACTCCGTATAAAATAAATTATGTATTTATTCGATTTGTATTGAAGGCAATACCGAATCATATTTAATCCATCTCGAATCAATATTTTACGATCGAGATTGGTACAATTAAAATTTCCATTACGCTCGAGATATTCAATACGAAAAATCTCAGCCTTGTTTGTGAACATCATTATCGATTAGCATTAGCATTTTTAATAAAATTTTAATGGAGTAGATTTACTTTGAAAATGTTAACGCTAAAGACTCCTATTACACAATATTTTCAAAATGATAAACTAACCTCTAATTAACAATTTTTCCAAAGAAGACACTCGTCTCGTATCGTACTATGTTTACCCCTATTTCAAGGTATGAATAAGCTTTTACCAAGCAGCTAACTAGCTAAGTATGTGTACATAGCATCCAACTACCGTGTAAAGTGTGGAATCTTTCTAAGTGGGAACTCTCCTTTTCACCCACTAAAGAGAGAACAACCATGTTAGATGTATACCACTTGGTGAATACCAATTTATTCATAAAGGGTTCGCACCGACACATTGATGACTCACACTAACACAAGATGGTAGTACAAAATTTTACGATCGTACTAACATTTATGTAGAGTGTGGCATCATAGTATTAGTGCAAGCCCTTAGTGTAAAATTAGTATATTCTAAAATGGTAGTACAAAATTTTACGATCGTACTAACATTTATGTAGAGTGTGGCATCATAGTATTAGTGCAAGCCCTTAGTGTAAAATTAGTATATTCTCAACGCATCGGCTCCGACTCTGGAGAAAATCGGCGACACAAGGCTCCCTTCGGCGATTCACTTTTTTTGGCCAATATGGCCGGCCAACGGCCGCCGGATCCCTCCCATCACCCTCCTGACGTCCCGGCGATTCCATCGAGCCATCACACGCCGGAAACCACCACTGGAAACATCCCAGGCGCTGCAGCGATCGTGGCGGCTCTGCCACCATTTTTTCCGGCGTCTACAGGTCCCGGCGGTGATCCCCTTTCATCTCAGGTTCTTCCCCTTCCTAAGACGACTCCATCGCATCCATTTGCAGCCTCATCAGGCGCTGGAATGGGGTGCACCAGTGCTGCGGCCATGGCGGGTCTTCCCGTCGGGTCGCCACCTCCTTCTCTGTTTCCAGGGCAATACAGCGTCGCGCAGCTCCCCCACGTGCCTCCCCCGATCTTTACGAGTGCAGCAAGCCATGCTCCATCAATTTTGGTGACCGGTAGCTCTGGTTTCAGTTCCGGCGAACCTCACACGGCGCTAATGGCATCTCAGTTGCCCAACTTTTTCTCTCCGGCTGTGCCCCTGTCCCAAGCAGTTACATTTGGTCCTTACACTCCCATGATGGTTTCACAACAGACCTTGAACGTGGAAGGCAGCGAAAACATGTTGGTTGCACGCATGGCTCACAATTTCACTTGCGCACCAGGTGTTTGTGGAAATGTCTCAATGACTTTTCCCACTCCTTCGCCAGATTTCCTAAAGGTCAAGGTCCCTATCAACTCTCTTAACTATTTTAATTGGCAAGACATCCCTGGTGCGAATCTTAAAGGTTTGGTAGATTCGGAACATGTCATAATGCATGTTCCTGTGCCATCATTGTCTCACTACCAACGCCTTAATGTCCCGGGGGCTGTCACCCTTGCGTTAGTTGGACCAAATGGATGCCCCTACGGTGAGTACCCAGATGGGGAGGTGCTTCGACCCATTGCTAACCCCCATGTGTTTAAACCCATTAATTTGGAGCTTCCTCGTGAAAAAGAAGCACGACTTGCCCAAGAAGCTGCAAAACGAGCTGTGCATGATCCCNTTGGTAGATTCGGAACATGTCATAATGCATGTTCCTGTGCCATCATTGTCTCACTACCAACGCCTTAATGTCCCGGGGGCTGTCACCCTTGCGTTAGTTGGACCAAATGGATGCCCCTACGGTGAGTACCCAGATGGGGAGGTGCTTCGACCCATTGCTAACCCCCATGTGTTTAAACCCATTAATTTGGAGCTTCCTCGTGAAAAAGAAGCACGACTTGCCCAAGAAGCTGCAAAACGAGCTGTGCATGATCCCTCCACTATGACTGAGGCGCTGGTCCAGTTTTCAAAAGCACAAACCAGCATTTTAGGCCCTGTTTCTTTGCATGAAGCTACGGCAGTAGCTACTGCTCCAACGTCCATGCATGCACCTCATGCTCAAGCACGGCCAGGGGGGAAAAAGGGGTTACTTTTGCTCCTCACTCTACTGCACCTATGGAAAGGCAAGGAGTTCTCTCACAAAAATTGGATTCCATCACATCTAAGAGTGCTACGGCAGTAGCAACTCCACGACAAGAAGGTCCACACGGCATACCTAAGTCTTCCTTTGCCCAAGTCGTGGCTGGTCCTTCTATGGCTGGCACGTCAAAATCCTTTGCACAAGCACTCACTGGCTCAACCAATCCAGGTATTTCTTTACGGGCCACTGCCTCCCGCCCATCTGCTATTTTACCAAATGTTGTTGTTGAGGATAAGAATCCCACATTTCATAGGGGTACTCCCGGAGTTGTTTTTAAAAAGTCTGAAATGCAAAGACTTTCTCAATTGGATAATTTTCTTCTTATTGTCACATGGTCGTCCTGAGATTGCCACATTGAGAAAGTTTTTTGCTGAAAAATTTCTTCTTCGGGAGTCGGTTCAGATTAGTCTTCGCGACCCACGTCATGTTATGCTTTTATTCACCCATCCTCTTGACTGTAATGATATATTCATGCAAGGGCAGATTCAGTTTAACGAACAATTTCCCATGAGACTGTTTCGGTGGTCCCCGGAATTTAATGTTAAAACTGAATCCTCCGTTGCGCCGGTGTGGGTGACTTTTCCTAATTTGAGGGCTGATTTATTTAATGAGAGTGCTATCCACCAGCTTTGTAAGCCCATAGGGAGGTGTTTGAAAGTAGATGTTGCTACGTCCACCTTTTCACGTCCCAATGTGGCTAAGGCTAGGGTGGAGATTGATCTATTGAAGCCTAGGATAGAACAGATTTGGATTGGTTTTTCTGATGAGCCTGGCGAGGAGGATGTGGGCATGTTCCAGTCTGTGGAATATGAGCGCATCCCAAAGTATTGCACGGCATGTTACAAGAAGGGTCACGACAATTCCTCGTGCAATACTTTGACTCCTAGTCAGCCTGATCAGAGAGCCGTTGTTGTGGTTCCCCAACCTTCCATGCCTGCACTTACGAATACCCAACCTCCTCGACGGAGGCGAAGTAGGAGTAGGGTCAGGCGTCAAAGGGAGGGGAAAGGTATTGCCATTGTTGATGCAGGTACAAGCGCAGGTGGCTCCCAACGGGAGGAGTCACAGTATGTTTGGCGAGAGAAGACAGCGAAAGGGTCCAGACCTATTGAGGTCGTGGACACTGATGATGTAGGTAAGGGGGAGGGACCCTCATTGCAAGCCTTTGTGCCCACTTCTTCCCATCCCTCCCCGAATGTTGTCATACCTGATGCTTGCTTAGTTCCTTCTACTGTTGTCAACGCCACTCCTCCCACATCAGTTGTGGTTGAACAGTCGGCGTCTCAGGCTTTAGAGCCATCTGTTCCTCCTACCGGAGTTGAGCAAGGCCCCGTTGTTGCTCCTCTTCCTCTCTCTACTTCTTCTTCTTCTATTGTACATGTTCCCGATCCTCAACTCCCCGAGCTGGCTCTGGCTATGTCTAATACTTTTGATGCTTTGGGGGAGATGCCTGGGGACAGTCATGAGGACTGCGACTTTAATACTGCTGCATCCTCCATTCCTTCTGATTCGGTAAGGAAGGGGGATGACGATTGTAGTTCACAGACTAGTGACGGGTCCATGGGTGATCATTTTGAGGATCCGACTGACATTGCCCGGGATCTTGCAGCGAGTGGTGTCTCTCCTGCAAGGGAGGCTCCGACCACAAGGGGTAAGTCGGCTAAAAACGCTCGAAAGGCAACAGAGCACAAGACGGGGGTGCCTCCTGCTCCACGCAGAGTCACCCGTTCCACTTCTTCTCGTTCTCAATGATG